CTCATATAAAGAAAAATTGTATCCCATAAATGCTGTACAGTTTTTATATACATTAACAATGTACTTTTGCTGCCTTCTAGATAATTTATTTTGCAACACATTACTGCACAGTTGTAAATAACTTATGTACTGTAACATCACTTTCAGTTATGTGTAAAGAAATAAATAAATTAATTAAAATTATCTTTGTAATGTACAGTTCACCCCAGGCAGCGCTTTCCCTGTCAAGGCAAAAAATCAGTGTGGTGTCACTTAGAAGCCCGTCCGATGCGCTCAGGTACGCACGGGGAGTTCCCACCCACGGTCTGTGCTGCAGGGATCTCCAGATGTGGACCTGAACTTTAACACCTCCTTGTTTCTCTCCTCTTTCCCCTGCCTTTTTGCGTTCGGTGGAATTGGAAAGCCGGCGGTGCCAACCCTGTGGTGGTGGCAGGGTGGGCCATGGAAAGAGGGCAGCCCCCTCTGCCACTTGCCAGCTGAGGCCACCAAGTGATGTGAAGAATGAGGTTTGGGCTCAGGCTGATGAATTTTATGTGCCCCTTCTGGTGGCTGCAAGTCGAGGAGCTGCTGTTTCAGGGCTGCAGAGCTTGGAGAAGGAGTGGTGGAGCCCAGCGCTGCCCCACAGATGCAGGTTGTCATGCTGAGGTGTCTGCTCAGCGCTCTCTGGGTTGAGAGGATGGAGGCAGCACCCGGCAGGAGCATGGCTTGGCCACGCTGGGACCAACCCTGGCCTTCCCACCCACTCAGAGTCCAGAGGAGTCCCTAATCCCATGGAAAGATGGTGCCTGTGTCTGGCAGGAGGAGTTGCCCCATGCTGAGCTCACCCCCCAGCGCGCTGCTCTCCTCCACAGCCCAGCAGAAACCAGGGGAGGTTTGGGGAGGCTTCACCTCCCGGCTGGGGACACACGACGTGTGGTTTCGGGGCTGGGGACACACGGGTGTCTGCTGGGACTGCCCTGTGGTGGGAAGGGGCCACCAGCTTGGTGATGCACCGTGTCTTCTCCCTTGGGGGGGGGGGGCTGCCCTGGACGTGCAGGCTCAGTGCAGTTGGCAACGTCAGTCCTCGGCACAAACTCGGAGATGCGGCTGGAGATGGACTCAAGTGCCTCCTCCAACCCCTCTGTGCCTTGTTTGCTCCTGCTGCCCAGCCTTTCCTGGCAGGCAGAAGTCCTGGCTGCCCACCACTGCCCACCCCGGCACGGGCTGGGGGCTGGCCCCCATGGACACCCATCGTTGGCACCTGGTTCTCCTGCCTCTTCCATTCAGCCCCACCGGGTACCCACGCTGGTTGAACATCTTGCCTGCTGCTTTCTGGCAGTGGAGGGGTTAGAAATGCTGTTGGGCTCCTCTTCCCGTGCTGGGGGGACCACGGGGGACCCGTTGGATTCACAAACCGCTTTTCAGCCCCATCCACCTCTTTCTGCAGCACCAGCCGAGGAGGTCTGGGAGCCTGTGGACCATGGGTCCCCTCTGGGCTGGGGCACCTGTGCCCGGCTCCCCCCGCGCTGCCTCCAGCTTTGCAGCCAGTTGAGGAATTTTCCACCCTCCTGGCACGAGTTTCACCCCATCACGTCACAGCAACTTCATAAGAGCTGGGGAGGGGGGGGGTCCTGCCTTCCCCTGCCCGACCCCCAGCTCCTGCCTTGGCACCCTGCCCCATTGCTGGACCAGCAGCACCAGTGAGGACCAGGGCTCACTGCAGGCAGAGCACGACTGTTTCTCGCCGGTTTCTCCAGTTTCTTACTGGAGCCAGAGTGGGTTTTACCCCCCTCTGAGTCTTTGCCCAGGGCTGCCAGGTTGGGGTGGGCAACCAGTGCAAGCGCTGGGTGGCTGCTTCTGCTCCAGGGGGGGTTCATCTGACAGAACAGAAGAAAGCGGCCACAAGTAGCGCTTATTTTTTAACTCATTTCCAGCCCAATCTTTAGTTAAACAATCATAAATTAATCACTGTGAGCACAGAGAGACCTTTAATCAGCCCGTGCAAAGCAAGGAAAGTCCCGTAGTCTCTTCCCACCCCGCTGTTGGGAGTCCCCAGGGGTAATTTTCCTCCCGGTGGCCACCACGGAGGTGGGTGCAGGTACCTCCCGGGCCGGGTCCCACCTTCTCTGGGTGCTGGTGGGACTCTCGTGGTGGTGCTTGTGCCCAGCAGAGGTGAGGCTGCCTGCTCTGCAGCCACCAGGGTCATTTTTTCACATCATCATTTGTGTACACGGTGCACTGCACCCCCCACCCCAACCCCCCCTGGCACCCACGTCCTTTTGGGGTTCAGCTTCCCGGAGGGAGGGAGGCAAAAAAGCAGAGGCAGATGCGATTTTTCTACTGATGTCTGTCAGAGGTGGGAGGTTGTAAATAAATTATTTAAAAAAGAGAGAAAGGAAAAAAAAAAAAAGCTTCTTTGCAACTTGGCTGCTTTGTTGGCTTTTCCCACGGTGCCGGGTGCTCTGACCAGTTCCCTTCCCGGGGGGGGGGGAAGAAGCTGGGAACCCCAGCAAGGGTCTCACTGGGGAAGACATTCTGGGGGGGGGAGGAACAAGCTGAGGAGCCCAGCAAGGGTCCCACAGGAAATCCCTGGGGAAGGGAGGCGGGGCGGGGGGAAGAAGCTGGGAACCCCAGCAAGGGTCTCACTGGGGAAGACATTCTGGGGGGGGGAGGAACAAGCTGAGGAGCCCAGCAAGGGTCCCACAGGAAATCCCTGGGGAAGGGAGGCGGGGCGGGGGGAAGAAGCTGGGAACCCCAGCAAGGGTCTCACTGGGGAAGACATTCTGGGGGGGGGAGGAACAAGCTGAGGAGCCCAGCAAGGGTCCCACAGGAAATCCCTGGGGAAGGGAGGCGGGGCGGGGGGAAGAAGCTGGGAACCCCAGCAAGGGTCTCACTGGGGAAGACATTCTGGGGGGGGGAGGAACAAGCTGAGGAGCCCAGCAAGGGTCCCACAGGAAATCCCTGGGGAAGGGAGGCGGGGCGGGGGGAAGAAGCTGGGAACCCCAGCAAGGGTCTCACTGGGGAAGACATTCTGGGGGGGGGAGGAACAAGCTGAGGAGCCCAGCAAGGGTCCCACAGGAAATCCCTGGGGAAGGGAGGCGGGGCGGGGGGAAGAAGCTGGGAACCCCAGCAAGGGTCTCACTGGGGAAGACATTCTGGGGGGGGGAGGAACAAGCTGAGGAGCCCAGCAAGGGTCCCACAGGAAATCCCTGGGGAAGGGAGGCGGGGCGGGGGGAAGAAGCTGGGAACCCCAGCAAGGGTCTCACTGGGGAAGACATTCTGGGGGGGGGAGGAACAAGCTGAGGAGCCCAGCAAGGGTCCCACAGGAAATCCCTGGGGAAGGGAGGCGGGGCGGGGGGAAGAAGCTGGGAACCCCAGCAAGGGTCTCACTGGGGAAGACATTCTGGGGGGGGGAGGAACAAGCTGAGGAGCCCAGCAAGGGTCCCACAGGAAATCCCTGGGGAAGGGAGGCGGGGCGGGGGGAAGAAGCTGGGAACCCCAGCAAGGGTCTCACTGGGGAAGACATTCTGGGGGGGGGAGGAACAAGCTGAGGAGCCCAGCAAGGGTCCCACAGGAAATCCCTGGGGAAGGGAGGCGGGGCGGGGGGAAGAAGCTGGGAACCCCAGCAAGGGTCTCACTGGGGAAGACATTCTGGGGGGGGGAGGAACAAGCTGAGGAGCCCAGCAAGGGTCCCACAGGAAATCCCTGGGGAAGGGAGGCGGGGCGGGGGGAAGAAGCTGGGAACCCCAGCAAGGGTCTCACTGGGGAAGACATTCTGGGGGGGGGAGGAACAAGCTGAGGAGCCCAGCAAGGGTCCCACAGGAAATCCCTGGGGAAGGGAGGCGGGGCGGGGGGAAGAAGCTGGGAACCCCAGCAAGGGTCTCACTGGGGAAGACATTCTGGGGGGGGGAGGAACAAGCTGAGGAGCCCAGCAAGGGTCCCACAGGAAATCCCTGGGGAAGGGAGGCGGGGCGGGGGGAAGAAGCTGGGAACCCCAGCAAGGGTCTCACTGGGGAAGACATTCTGGGGGGGGGAGGAACAAGCTGAGGAGCCCAGCAAGGGTCCCACAGGAAATCCCTGGGGAAGGGAGGCGGGGCGGGGGGAAGAAGCTGGGAACCCCAGCAAGGGTCTCACTGGGGAAGACATTCTGGGGGGGGGAGGAACAAGCTGAGGAGCCCAGCAAGGGTCCCACAGGAAATCCCTGGGGAAGGGAGGCGGGGCGGGGGGAAGAAGCTGGGAACCCCAGCAAGGGTCTCACTGGGGAAGACATTCTGGGGGGGGGAGGAACAAGCTGAGGAGCCCAGCAAGGGTCCCACAGGAAATCCCTGGGGAAGGGAGGCGGGGCGGGGGGAAGAAGCTGGGAACCCCAGCAAGGGTCTCACTGGGGAAGACATTCTGGGGGGGGGAGGAACAAGCTGAGGAGCCCAGCAAGGGTCCCACAGGAAATCCCTGGGGAAGGGAGGCGGGGCGGGGGGAAGAAGCTGGGAACCCCAGCAAGGGTCTCACTGGGGAAGACATTCTGGGGGGGGGAGGAACAAGCTGAGGAGCCCAGCAAGGGTCCCACAGGAAATCCCTGGGGAAGGGAGGCGGGGCGGGGGGAAGAAGCTGGGAACCCCAGCAAGGGTCTCACTGGGGAAGACATTCTGGGGGGGGGAGGAACAAGCTGAGGAGCCCAGCAAGGGTCCCACAGGAAAGCCCTGGGGAAGAGATTCTGGGGGGGGGACAAGCTAGGAACCCCAGCAAGTGTCTCACTGGGGAAGACATTCCAGGGGTTGGGGGAGGAACAAGCTGGGGACCCCAGCAAGGGTCCCACTGGGGGAGAGATGCTGGTGGGAAGAGGAACAAGCTGGGGAGCCCAGCAAGAGTCCCACAGGAAAGCCCTGGGGAAGGGAGTTAGGGAGGGGGGGAACAAGCTGGGGCCCCCAGCAAGCATTCCAGAGGAAAGCCCTGAATGCACAAGGGGAGCACCAGGGGGTGTCCTGGGGTGTTTGCTTGGGGGCCCCCAGACATCCTGGGGAAGGGAGAGGGGTTCTAAAGGGGAGAAGGCGGGAAACCCACCGTGGAGGGGCTTTGGGGGTGGCTGGGAGGAGCCGTGGGGTGTTGGGGAAGGGACAGCAGACGGAGTCCCTCCACATCCAGCCCCACGTCCACCCTTGTGGGGTGGGGGCTGGCCAGAAGGTCCCTCAGGTGACTCATGGGGATCGTGACCCCCACCCCTGTGGGCAGTGAGGAAATGTGCCAGGACCCCCATGCTGAGGTCTCCCCACTGTGTCCCCCCCTTTCCTGCAGTGGGACCTGGTGTGCACCTCACGCTGGAAGGTGCCCCTGGAGCAGACCACGCACTTGCTGGGCTGGATGCTGGGCAGCGTCGCCGCCGGCCTGGCATGTGACAGGTAACTGGGGGTCCCTGGGGTGGCTCCCCCTGGGCAGGGGGGCACCGTGCCCAGCCCCGCTCACAGCCCGTCCCTCGGCAGGTTCGGCCGCCGTCCCGCCTTCGTGGTGTCCCTGGTGCTGGCGGTGCCCCTGGGCCTCTGCGTGGCGCTGGCCATGAACTTCATCATGGTCCTGGTCACACGGCTGCTCTTCGGGGTGGCTCTGGCAGGAGCCTTCCTCTCCCTCTATGTGGCACGTGAGTGTGCTGGCAGGGGTCAGCGGTGGCGTGGGGACCGAGGATGCTCCAGGGTGTAGGGTGGTTCAGGGTGTAGGATGCTCTGGGATGCAGGATGCTCTAGGGTGGTTCAGGGTGTAGGATGCTCGAGGTGCCCCACAGCCACGTCACCCATGGTGCACCCCTTGCCCCCCTCCCCTGCCAGGGCTGGAGCTCTGTGACCCCCCGCACCGGCTGGTGGTGACGATGGTGGCCGGCTTCTTCTGGATCGCCGGGGAGCTGCTGCTGCCAGGGCTGGCCGTGCTGTGCCGGGACTGGCGGGTGCTGCAGGGTGCTGTCACCATGATCCTGGCTCTGCTGGCTGCCTGCTGGTGGTAAGGACTCCCCCCAGGCTGGGGGGGCTGCGTACACAGGGAGGGTTCCCCCTCTGTGGTGGGGCTGAGCAGTGCCCTGAGGCTGGCACCAAGCTGTGCCCGGGGAGTGCCAGGGCAGCACACCAGGATCAAAGGCTGCCCAGGGCTCTCCAGGTGGAACGTGGGGACCCCCCCGCCCCGGGTAAATGTTTGCTCAGGTTTGGAGTTGAGGGTTTCTGGGCAGCTTCGCTTTGAAGCCGGGAAGGGAGGTGTGGAACGCTGGAGGGGGGCCAGGCACCTGGGGAGCCCCGTGACACCGACACTTGTGCCCCAGGTGCCCAGCGCTGCTGCTGGAGTCACCACGATGGCTACTGGCCACGTGGCAGCTGGAGAGGGCCAGGAAGACCTTGCAGGCGCTGGCCGAAAGCAGTGGCCCCGGCTCCAACGAGGGGTCCTGCCACCAGGAGAGCCTCCTGGCAGGTGTGTGAGGAGAGGGGAGGGGACTGCTGAGGGTGATGTGGCTGATGGGCCCCCTCCCCAAAGCCACAGTGCCGGGGGCGGTGGGATGGTGCCAGCTTTAACCCGGGTGCCCCTGTCCCAGCAGAGCTGGAGTCCCTGTCTGAGAGGTCCCCACAGCCCAGGTACCACGCCGTCTGTGAGATCTTCAGCACCAGGGTCATCTGGAAGAACGGTGTCATCCTTGGATTCACAGCGTGAGCAAACAGAAGGGTGGGGGGGGCATGAGGTTGGGGTGAGGGTCCCGCTCATGTTCCCCCTGACCCTGCTCTCCTGCAGGTTCATCGGCTCCGGCATCCGCCACTGCTTCACCCGCAACCTGGACCCCCACCTGCCCCACTTCTTCTCCTCCTACTTCGTGCTGGTGGGCACCGAGGTGGCCGCCTGCCTCTTTGTCTGCCTGACGGCCGAGCGCTTCGGGCGCCGCGCCATCCTCCTGCTCTGCACCGTCCTCACCGGCATCTCCTCCCTCCTGCTGCTGGCCCTCACCCAGTGTAAGGATGGACAGGGGGGACCCCCGCCCTCCCTGTGGTGGGATGCAGCCCCCAGATGGAGGGCTGGGGGTGGGAACAGGATGCGGGGGTGGGCTCTATGCAGGATTTGACCCCCTGACGGTGTTTCTCCCCCACCTCAGACCTGCTTGACCTCATTGTCCTGACCCTGTCCGTGGTGGGCATCACCGCCTCCCACGCTGTCACCATGCTCAGCATCTTCTTTGCCAGCGAGGTCCTCCCCACCGTGATCAGGTATAGGGGGGGAGCCCCCACCTTCCTTGTGCTACTCTGGGGAAGGGGGGACGCCAGAGCGGGGTCCACCAAGCCCCCCTCTGAGCATGTTTTCCCTGCAGGGGTGCCGGGCTTGGCCTCATCGTGGGGGCCAGCTTCGTGGGCAAGGCGGCCGCCCCCATCACCGCCATCCCCAACAGCCGGGGCTTCTTCCTGCACCACGTGGTCTTCGCCTCCTTCGCCATCCTCGCTGTCCTCAGCATCATGCTGCTGCCGGAGAGCCAGGGCCGCAGCCTGCCCCAGTCCCTGCAGGATGGCGAGAGCCAGCGCCGGCCCCCCCTCTTCCACCGGCCCCCCCGGGAGGACCACCTACCCCTCCTCGCCCCCCAGGGCATCCCCCATGACTACTCCCGCCTCGCTGCCTCCACCAAGAGGATGCTGGGCTCCCCGGCTGCACCCCGTGAGACATAGCTCTGTGTGTCCCCCCCCCCTCCTCCAGGGTCTCCCTGCTGCTGGGGGGGGGGCTCTGCACAGCGCCAGGATCCCCCACCGGGACCCCCCCATCTGTGGGTGCTTGTGGGGAGACGGTGGGGTGCCCCCGGGACCCCCGGGCTGGGGGAAGCAGCACACCCACCGCCCCAGCAGGGCCGGATCCTGCCCCAGGAGGAGCTGTGCTGGGAGTCCTGGGGTGGGGGTGATGCCCCCCCCTCGGGGTGCTGGGGACGGGTGCTCGCCAGCTGCCAATAAAAGTGCCTTGTTTCTACGGGCGGCTGGCGTGGTCGGGGGCCCCGTGTGGCGCCCCTGCCACCGGCCCCCTTTTTGGGGGATCTTTATTATGAGGGAACCGGGGGAATCCTCATCCTCCCCTCCCTGGCTCTGGAGGGGCTTTCCCTGGGGGGGGTGTCCCCCCCCGGTGATACCCGTGTCCTCAGCCTCTGCCTTCCTGTGGCTTGCTGGGCACGGGGGTCTGTGTGTGCACACACACGTGCAAAGCCCCCGCAGCCAGGCATCTTGTGCACGTCCGTACGCAAAGCCGCTGCGCCGGGGCATCTCCTGCACACGCGTGTGCAAAGACCCCCCCGATTCCCACCCCCTGACCCCCTCCCCGCTACTGCCCGTAGAGGTCGGCCAGGCGCCGGAATCGTGGCCCCCACTCGCTCAGGTAGTCGTAGTCCTGGTCCTCGTCTGTCAGGCTGGAGACGATGGAGCTGAGGGGGCTGGCGACAGACCCCGAGCCCTCGTAGTCGTAGATGAGGGCCGTGTCGTAGGGGGGCACGCTGGGGTCGCTGTCGGCCGCCTCCAGCCCCTGTGGGGGACAGAAGGGGCACCGTCAACCCCAGCAGAGATGAGGGGAAGGGGAGGGAGGGGGGCATCAGGCACTGGTCCCCACCTCGTTGATGAAGTCCTCGATGTCGGAGGGGCTGTTGGGCAGCTTGCGGGGGGGCAGGGGGGTGGCAGAGCTGAGCGGGGCGTCCCTGCGCACCGGTGGCTTGGCCCGGGGTGGGAAGAGCTCAGGGTGCCGGAGCTGGTTGATGTCGTAGGCATCCTGCAGGAATGGGAGGGGGTCAGGGGACAGACCCCCCCATCCCCAGGACCCCTCCATCCCTCCCTCCCTCCCTGGGTCCTGCTCACCTGGTCCTCCTCGCCCCCGCCCTGCTCGTCGTAGTTGAGGATGTTGTCCCTCATGTCGTCCCGCGAGTGCTCCAGCAGCCCCTTGCGCAGAGCCCGCCGGCGCCCACGCACCCGCGCCGCCCCCAGCCCCACCAGCACTGCAGGGAGAGGGGGGGGTGGTCTCGGGGTGGGGTATGGGGGGCGTGGGGGGCACAGGGATGGGGTGGCTGGGCATGGTGGGACACGGGGTGGTTGGGTTGGGATGCAGTTGGTGGGGCTGGGAGAGTGGGGTGGGGATGCTGGGCAAGGGTTGGATGGGGTGATGAGGGAATTGGTTGGGGGGGTCTTGGTCAGAAGGGGTTGATGGGGGGGGGCGGGGTGTTGAAGGTCACAGGTAGGGTATGGATGAGGTGGCCAGGACCAGGATGGGGTGATGGGGAACATGAGTAGGAAGTGGATGGGGTGTCCTAGACCAGGATGGGGTGATGGGGAACATGAGTAGGAAGTGGATGGGGTGTCCTGGACCAGGATGGGGTGGGGAGCCGGGGACGGGGACAACAAGGTGACAGAGTGTGCTGGTGGGTTTTGGGTTGGTTCTACATGGTAGGGCATGGGGTGCTGGGTGGGGGCAGGATGGAGGGGCCAGGAGGGATGAGGATGGTCTCACTCACCGAGGAGGAGGAGGATGCTGCCGAGGATGATCATGAGGGCCCCGAGGGTGATGCCGGCCCCAGCGGTGGCGGCGGCCAGGACACCATCCTCACAGGTGCCATCCCGTCCGCAGTGACACACGGAGATGTTCAGCAGCTGCTGCCGCTCCTGTGGGGGGGTCCCCGAGTCCCGGAGCAGCAGCGGGAGCGAGTAGGGACCCTCGGGCAGCTCCACCAGCACGGCCAGCACCGCGTGGGTCACTGCAGGAGGGATGTGGGCAGGGTGTGAGCGGGGGTCTCCTGACCCTTCTATACAGCAACGCCACCCCCTCACCCCCCCCCATCAGCCCTCACCATTGAAGCGGGTGATGCTCCAGTTGCGGGTGAGCTGGGGGTGCTGGGGGCTGAGCTGGAAGTGGAAGGGGGCACCGTGGGGGGGCCGGTCGTCATCCGTGGCCCCCAGGAGCAGGCGTCCCCCACGGCCTGGCCGCCCGCAGACCACCCCGGCCGTGGGCTGCAGCAGGGGCGCGTGGTCGTTCACCTCCAGGATCTCGATGGAGAGGGTGCCG